CCAAAATGATACCTTTTATTAGACCAACTGGGAAATTGCATGAAAAATGTCCTTTTCTGCAAGCTTTCGGGCAGAAAGAGGTGAAGGGAATTTTGATCCCAAAAGCTTGCAGAAAAGGACATTTTTCTTGCAGTTTCCCAGTTGGTCTAATAAAAGGTATCATTTTGGAACTGCTGATAACAGGCACTTGAATAGTTTACTAACACCTCAGTGGAGGAGTTGGCAACCCACAGAGCCTTTAGATCCAGCCTGTGAAACCATGGCTTCAGTGGAGGGGAGGCTCTCCATGCACTGGGACTTATCAGCCACCCGGGGCTCCAGTGGGAGGAAAGCTCTGTAGGTTGTGGGGCAGGGAATATGTCTTTCAACTTTCAAAGCATAGCTTTGCATCTGACCAGTAAGGCAAAGAGGTGGAAGTGGCCTGGTCCTAATACCCACCAACTCCAACCTGAGATGGGTCATTCTGGACCCCCACATTCTCTTCCCCCCAGAAAACAGTGCCTATCCCTGCATCAGTGCACAGTGATGTGTCAAACTCAGACAAGCAAAATGAGCAAATGGGCAACTCTGCACAACATTTTAAGTAAAAGGTCTTAATTAGACCATCACATTAATTATTTTTCATCCCTGGAAAAGGGATTGCACATCTCAGAAGGGTATTCTCAGAAGCAGAAGGTAGAGATATAGGTGTCAAACAGCATTTCCATTTTGCCCCAACTCCTCTCTTATACCCCTGCACCTCAATCCAAGTTCTAATGCACATTTCTCTCATGAGAGAAAGTTTGCCAATTCCTTTTTAGTCTGTTATCGTGGGAAACCAAAGCTAAAAGCTCATGCTGTCTGTTACAGAGAAGTGTAACAGGGCAGACTGCAGCACAACTGAACAAAAACTCACCTTTGGACCAAAACGAAGGAATTACTTGAAGAGAAGAATGCAAAGTGGAATAAAAATTCCCCCCCTCTTTTTTTTTTAATTCAGACAAAAATACTCTCTCACAAGCCCACTGCAGATATGGAAAGACTCCTAGTGACTCCATGCCGAGACAGAACAATAATGAGTATAGCTACCTCCGAGCACCCCCTGTGAAAGCCTGGCCTTTTCGTTCTTATAAAATTTACCTTGGAACTGCCACTGAATCTTCAATGGTAGTAAGCCCCAGCTGTCCATCGCTCCCAGCACCCCACGCAAAGAGCTGGCCCTGCTCACTGAGTGCCACGCTGTGAGACTCTCCGCAGGCAATGCGCACTATGTGCTGATCTGCCAATGCTCCAATTTGCTCTGAGGAAGATGGAAAAGTCATTAAGAAACAGTGCATCTCTCACATTTCTATACAGACACTAGAGAGCTGTATACAAGCTCTAACAAAGCGGATCTTGAATAAGCTAGGACTAGTACATTTGCGACAAGCATGGTTTTGAAAAACCCAACACACCCACACTGCAGTAGAAAGGCACAGATTTTCAAACATGCTCATTGCCCAGCATCTTCCATGCTAAGCTCCATGACTCCATTTTCAAGCTCTCCTGAAAACCTGCAGAGATTATGGCTGGTAAACTCTCTTGAGAAGTCTGGCCTACAACAGGCAGGTGGCGTTACAGAAAACATAACAAAGGAACAGGATTGCAGCTCAGCATTTAAGGGAGCCACAAAACATATTATTCTTGCATTAACAGAGTCCTCATCTGACATTTTTCTCTGTCTTCTTGTGATGAATCATTAAGTTGGATATACAGAAATCTTTCTGAAATTTCTCATTGCAGCTTTGATCTTCCCTACTTCACTTGATTACTTGAAAGGTTGTTCCACTGACCACATCTTATTCATTGATTCACAGATGTTAGGATCAGAAGGGACCTCAATAGATCATTGAATCCAACTCCCTACATAGGCAGGAAAGAGTGCTGGGTTCAGATGACCCCGGCCAGATGCCCATCCAACCTCCTCCATCTTCCCCACTCATTTTCAGGGACAGTACCTGGATCATCACAGTTGAACTGCTCTATCACACAGTGCCCATCCCCAGTGCCAATGGTATTAAGTTACTAGAGATTTTAACTTCAATCTCTTATGTATACATTTTAAAAGCAGTAGGAAATCAAGAAATCTGACAGAAGTCAGACAGCCTGCCTACAATTCATTTTCTCACTGTGTGCATATGAAATAGCTTTCTTATCATTAAAATATCACAATTTTCATTGCACGCCGTTTTTAAGTGATTGGTTAACCAAATGAAAAAATCTGATTTTGCAATAAACTGACACTTGTCTCACGGTGAAATTTTCCCAAGTATGGTTATAAGAGTGGCCTGGTTTCGCACAACAAAATACAGATTTCAGACTGGACAAAAATGCTTCCTTCTGTAACAAACTGGGAACTGATTAGCCAGCAAGAATGCAGCATAATAGAAAAAACAATTAATTTGCCTCACCCAGGAGAAAGAAGCAAGGTTATATTTAATTCTTTAAATATTACACTCTATGCCTTGATTATGCAGTAAGAGAAAAAAAACTGCAAGTAACCAGTTTTTGGCATTTTAAGTTAATTTAAAAGGCAGAGTACTGATAGTGTTAATTTAAAATACTCATGGTGCAATACCCTGGTGCTTTCTACTGTATACTTTTTAAAAATCTTTAGTTGTTCTAACACTAACAATGAATAAGTCTAGCTAAAGACCTAGTTTCCAGGAGCAGTCACTTTAGTTTCACACATCTACATACATACATGACCTACACATTTGGACAAGTCAATGCACAAGTCCACAGTAGCCAATGCTGTGCCAGTCTGCCTAAGCAATATATAAGTGGGCCCCATGCCAAGGAAAACAGAAGCAGGTCAGTCACAAGTCAGTGAGCAGTAGGGTGGAGGGGATGGGAGACAACATATCAAAATCTAGAGATAGCTGTGATTTACAGGTCCCCTCCTTTCAGTGGCCAGCCAACTAGGGGTGGAAACAGATATCGCCTTTTGGCCTTTGTGCCACCATAAACATTTTTACGATGGCACAAAGGTGACAAGCAAGCACACATCCATGCCCCTTGCTGCACCACAAATGCCCAAAACACGTGGCCATGAAGAAAGTGCTATTAATTTGTGTTGCTATTTAGCAGCTAATGTGTTTGCTTTGTGGTAGGAGAGCGCAGGCAGGCTGGTGAGCTGACTGCAATTTCCAGGAGCCCTGCGGAGGTGTGCCAGGAGCTTGAGGGGCCTGGTCCTGTACACCCCAGGAAGTCTTGTGTAGGACTGGGCCCCTTAAGTCCCAGGAGCAGCTGCTCAGCTTTCCCATCTTAAAGAGATGCACCCCTGATAATCTTGGGGTGGGTCTCATTAAGCAGGGATAACTGGGGTTTATTGCTTGCAAAAATGTTCCCCCAGGATCTCCATAAGCAGGGAAAGCTGGAGTTTCCCATGGGCAGAGAGGTGCCCCTGAGATTTCCTGAGGGTGCACCTCTGTAAAAGGGTAAAGCTGGCTGGGCAGGTATTCCCAGGGTTTGAGGGGCCCAGTCCTGCATAAGGATTCCCAGGATGCACAGGACTGAGCCCCAGAAGAACACATCACTCTTTGTCCTGAAGCATCAAAAGGAGGGACAAGACAGGTGACGTGTTTCACCTAGTGAAGATGATCTGCTTCATTTGGCAAAGTCTATTTCTAACCTCAGACATGAGTATGTTAGTGCAGAAACTGTTGACGACACCTTTATGTTCAACCAGAAGAGTTAACACATTAGGGTCTTAAAGGCTTCACTACCAGCTCTGGCTAGAAAGTTCTCCAGAAGAAAACAGAACAAAGAACAGCTAAGCAAGGGCACTCCTTCAGTCACAAAAAACCCACTTCATTACCACCCTACTGCAGCTTACATTCCACATAGCCTTAATGAAATACAACACTAACCCCATTTGCTATTTACAAGGCAATTGAGTTCTTTTAAACATAGTGGACACAAACCCACCAGTTTCCATTATCTCCCAAATCCATTTTCTGGATTGGATAGGACCTATCTGCATTGGATCCATTCTTCTGGCACACCCTTAATGTTTCCAATGGGAACACAAGCACAACATATGGCAAAGGTGGGAAATTTTGTAATATATTTAGGAAAAAATGGGAGTCAATATGCCCACTACTTTGTATCGCTCCCCCTGGTTATAAAAGTTAATTTCTTCCCAAGTC